AAAAAAAAAAAAAAAAGAAAATTAAGGGGGAGTTCTTGGGGTGCATAATGTTTGGTAGTGAGAAGACTAGGTAAAACATCATTTGAGGTGATTTTGAAATCCACTGCTTTAAACTCCCTTCATGTAATGGTGTATTTCTCCCCCAAAAAAGGTCATAATTAAAAGTTCCCTTCACAGTGGTACCCAATGGGCTGAAAGAATTTGGTGCAGTACAGAGTATATCCATTGATGCTTTCAGGCAGGTACTGAAGTTTGGAAAGCAGTCCTAAGTAATCTTGATTATTTAAGGACAGTTATAAATCCGTCTTCAAAATGTAGAATTACCGCAAACTATTTTTGTGTCATTCACTCTTCAGGAAACAGGTTTCAGCCACTAAGGCCGAAGCAGAAAAGGATGGAGTAAAGGTCCCCACAACCCTGGCGGAATACTGCATCAAAACTAAAGTGCCTTCCAATGACAACAGCTCAGATTTGCTTTATGACGACTTGTATGACGACGACATTGATGATGAAGATGAGGAGGAGGAAGATGCCGACTGTTATGATGATGATGATTCTGGGAATGAGGAGTCGTGACATGCTCTTTCAATGCCCCTGTACTGCCCTGCCATCTCAGGCCAAAGGGAGGGGAGCAAGAGGGGACCTAGCAATGGCCCCCTCAGCAAAAACCTATTCACAGGGGGTGGGGAAAACAAACACAGCTCCTGCTGACTCCCCTTATGGATCTCAGTTTGCTCCTTTTTATGGACCTTAAATGGAGAGAGAGTAACCCTACACAGAATGTCTGAATTCTTGCATTCTTTACCCTTCCATCACTGTATTGATTCTTTTTTTTTTTTTTTTAAACAACATCAACCCAAACTCCCGCCTCACTTCGTCTCTACAGAATGTTCACAGCAAAACACGTTTGGTCTGTTTTTAGATTCTTGAGGAATTAAATAGTCTTTCAAGACGTTTAATGTGTTTAAAGCTGGGAACCTCTTGGGAGTTCACAAGTGCTGCATATACTGGGTAGCAAAAGAAAATGGAAAAAAAAAAACCTACAAAACAAAGTTCAAAAAAACAAACAAACAAAAAAAACAAATTTGCCAAGGTTTAGCTGCTCATTTACATTAGTGTGTGCACATTCGTTCGGCCCCATGGTGGTGAATTTTGTTTCTTTCCCTTCCTAAGGCTGGGATACAGTGAGCGTCAGGGACTTCGTGCTAAGCCTGATGAGATGAGCTCCTTCAGCCTCCATGAAATCATCCTAACGTGGAGCCCTCGGCTACTTTGAGAGAAATCAGATTTTGCTTTTTGAAATCGATTGGGATCTGAAGCCTGAAATAAATATTCATACTTTACATAGAACTGAGCACTTGGTTGCCATTTATTTTAAAATTTAAAGGCAAGGTTGTTATTTTTCCCCCCAGGGAGTGGGGCGTGTGGGGGAGAAGTGGGGATTAGTGTATGTGTGGATTCTTAGGGATGGAAATAAAGAGTTAAAAATCACGATGCCAATTTTGGTTGATGCTGCTGGGGGGAAAAAGTCAAAACTACTGGTGACCACCGTTGGGAGAGGAAATACCTGTTGTATGTATTTAACATGGCCTTCCCCTCCAAGATAGATAAACTCTCACCATGAGGTTTTTCAAAAAGTAGTCACTTTTAATTACTCAGCATTAATTCTAGGTGCATGTATTAAGATTTTGGTTTTCATCGAGCTGCTTACACTGACAAACATGGATGCGTGTGAGACATGAGTGACCGGTTCTCACATTCTTCATTGAAGTGATCTGGACTTTTTTCTCCTTTCAATGTAGTTTGGTTGTGGAGCGCCAAGCAGAAATGGTGCGTTGAGCTCCTCGTGGGTGTGTCTCTTCTGGCAGGGCCAAGGGCGTTGACTGCAGGCAGTTTCCAGTCTCCAGGCAGGCAAGGCTCAGAGATCTTGCCATACCATCACTGCAGCTTTGATTTCCCAGGTCTCAATCATGTGTTGCTTCAATCAAATACTGAGATCCAGCAGCCTTCAGCATCCAGAAACTTCAAACTTGAAGGTGATTTTTGGTTGTTATGGGGGGTGTGTCAGTTCATAGAAGGGCATTGTTCTTTGGGGAAAACTGCTACAATGTAAAATCAGATTTCAGAAAGAAGATACAGCAAGGACTGATTACAGTCCTACTTAAGATCCCTGTGCACTAGTGTCAACTCCTTTTTCTTCAGATCATAGAAAGAACCAAAGGGCAGATTAGGGACAGGGGTAGGATGGATCCTAGGATGGTCAGAGTAAATGATGCTTACTTCCTTAGCTCCTCCTTCCTTTCTGATCTCAGGGTTTTCATTCGCTCTTTAAACTTACCCAGACATATGCTGACTACTTCCCAGCAGCCCCAGCCTTCTCTGGCCTGTAAAGTTTGGTATTAAATGGGAATATTTAACACGCTAAGGTTCTTAAGGGACACCGTTGAGCCTGGTCCCAGAATCTCTACGGGGTCAGGGCTGCTACTTGCACCCTGAACCTTTTAATTCCAGTCAGATTCATAGGACAGAGCAGTTCTGTAATATGCTCTTAAGTTGTCTGACTACAAACTTTCTTAGAAGAATGTTGCAACTACCTTTTTACTCCCCACACTTCTCAAATAATGCTTCCAGATAAACTGCAAAATCTTCTGGAGCCAAAGCCTCTCACAGTACTGATTTACCTCCCTACCCACTACCCCCTCCAAACACACACGTGTGCGCGCAAGTTTACAGCCAATAGCTTGGTCTTACTCTCTTGGAGCCCTAAAAATCAAACCTTTCATTCCCCTTACGCATCTCACGCCCAGGGCAGGCCAGGCACCATGACATTTTGGGAGGTGCTGTGCTGCTCAGCTGTCACATTAGGCCCTGTTGGCCTAATTAGGCCTCTGTTGCACGTTGACTCAGGGAGCCGGAGCGCTAAGTGGAGGCTGTACCTCTCAGCCCTTTGGGGTGTTACTATTGAGGGCTGCGTTTGCCTCTGATGAGTACAATCAGTTCCAGAAGACTGGGGTGTGTTGGCTTGGTAGCAGATAGACATTCTGATAGTTTAGACTTATAAAACCCAGATGCTGGTTCCAGAGCTCTGTCCCTGAGAACACATCCTGTGGAAAAATAGTATATAATTTTTATTTTTGGGAGGTCTCAGGCTTAAGGCAGAACCTTATGAGTACAGTTGTGCTGATTAAATTTGGTGTGCCGTGAACTCAAAATCCTGCATTTTTAGGTTCCTTTTAATTCTAATTAAGGCCTCACTGGGTGCGCTTCAGTTCTGTGTGTATTTTGAGGCTGGGTGGAGAAAGTATAATATGATTCCGTTGTTGCTTCTCTGAAAGTCTTCCCTCTGCCCTTTTTCTTATCATTCCAGAGTTCTTTTCTATTAGCCAAACTTTTTTGTAGTCCATTCTTTCAACCCTGCCCTGGCAATTTGCTTCTTTACTTGCTGGTTTCCTTATGTTTGGGGAATACATAGTAAGAGATTGGATGGGTAAAGTGTGTGGTTCTCCACTGAAAATTAACTCTCCACCCCTCCCACCCTGATAAACAAGGTTTACATTTACAACTAAAAAGATTCAGAGATGCAATTTTCAACTATTCTGAAACCAGCAGGACACACCTGACTTTAATAGTTTTCTTAGCTGAAATTGTAGATGTTTTTCTTCAGTTTAACTTATGAGAAAAGATTATCTGATGCATTTTGTGTTGACTTCCCTTTTAGTGATTTATTTTGTCTTTTTCTGCCCATCTGTCTATTAATAAAATGTGAAATAAAATATACCTGTATTGCTATTTCCCCACGGGATGATCCTCTTCATTTTTTTCTTTGTGTTAAAAGGTGGTCTCGATGTTTTCACTGTTATCTCACAGACTGATGATGCCCAGGACTCAGCTGAAGATTAAAACAAACTAAAACCCAAACTGGCTGACCTGCCTTTTATAAAACATTCTGTCCAACTCGCCTCCCTGGAGAATCATCCCCAACTTACATGTTTTTAAGGAAGGTTCCTTCAAAGGAAGCTTTAACAAGTGGGCATATTTTAAAACTTCTGAAATAGGGCACAGTCAGCTGATATGACTACGTCAGTGAAGAAATGGATGGGTACTTTGCTGCCCTCCTTAGGCAAACATTTTATTTTCATTGTCATTTGTGTTCTTAACTTCCTGTTAACAGGAATCAGGCAAGAGAACACATTTTTTTTTCCTAGCCAAGATCCCAAGCTGTGCGTTAGTAGTAGCATGCGCCTCGTGTGATGAATGGCCACAGCTCCAGACAGTAGATGCCAAAAGCAGAAAAGGAAAAGACTGACTGACCCCCAGGCTGGTTCTGACATAATGACTTGACCAATACTCAACTTGAAGCTGCACTGACTCATTTTGTTTGCTTATTTAGCCTGGTCTGAAGTAGCGACATAGGAAACGAGAGGCTGTGGCACCTTAGGAAACACCGCCCTGAGCTGCCTGCTAGGTAGGAGCAGGGTTGCGGATAACCAAGTGGAGGATGTGCCTGATGACTGTGGCTCGTCTCCTCCCTGGCTTCTGGTCTACCTGGTAATAGCCTAACTCACTAGTCATCTGTTCCCCCTTAGCCCTTGCCTGCCAATCAAGGTTGTGTTTGGTTTATGAAGAGCAAAGGATTGACAGGTATGCCTGCTTGTACTTATTCTCTCTCAGGCCTAGAATTCTGCTCTCAGTTCTTGGCTTTACTACAGATTTTACAGTTGAGACTTGGAAATTACCTTGCCCTGGTACACTTGTTGACAGGGCCCTGTGAGAAGCTTAAGCTGTCTTTTCATTTATCATTTCAGCCTAGAGAAGGGTCCAGCAAAGAGAAATAACCAATTCAAGCCTTTATAGCCTGATAGCAGTACACTGCAGCCATCTGAGGTCTGCTTCAGCCCTGCCCTGAGCGGTTCCTCAGTGACACCACACAAGAGACTGCATGCTCTCACAACTTTATTAGGTGGAGTTTGGGCAAGAGAAAAACCCTGAAACTGTTGCCTGCCTCGTGCAGGACAACTAGAATAGAGGAGCCTTTGCTTGGAGATTTTTAAAGGGAGCTGAACATCTGAGCCCCAGTTCAGGTGAATTTTTCAAGGTCAGCCAGAGGAAGGCAAGTCTCTGGGGACAATACCAGAAGCAGAAGCCCATTCTCTGTATGAAGACAAACAGGTACCCAGATTTATTTTGGGTGGAGGGATATCTCTGCTATTCCCAGATCAAGATATGACAAAGGGGGACCATGAAAAATGACAAAAGGACCAGTTTCTTTAAAACAGAGGTGTAACGTAACTACACAAGGACAGAACACTCAGATAATGGTTTACAAAGGAGTGAGATAAGTCGTGATTCTTCATTGGTACCTGACTGACCCCAATACCCAAACTGCCTTGAACCAACCCTTCCAGAAACTGTTCCTAGTAGCCCATTGGGCAGGCAGGGGGCTTAAATGAAGGTCTGAAGGCAGAACGGTATAGGGGGCTTATTCTGCTACAAAGAGGAAAAGGGGCTTGAATGGGGAGAGCAGACATGGCTAACGTGCAGCTGCACCCCCAACTCCCCCACGCTCGTCACATTTACAAATACATACATAAATACATTACATACAACAGCCAGTCTGGGAGGCAGGCCCCCCACAGAGGCTTGGCTGATGGGAAAGGGCACTGGGCTCTCAGAAATGTGCTCCGTGTGTTCTCTCCTGCCAAGGGTAAGCCCTGTCCCACTCTCTTCAGGGTTTAGTTTGTCCAGTATGGAGAGGTGCCGTAGGAGGGTTTGGAGGCTTGAGACTTGGGCTGCAGGGAGCCAGGCTGGCTTCGCTGACCTGAGCCGCTCTGAGGAGGAGAGAAGGCTGCCAGGGCTGGAGGAGCAGCACCCCCGGCCCAGCACAGGGTGGCTGCCCCCATCACTGCGCTTACCTGGGCATCCTGCGGAAGGTGATGGTGCAGTAGCTGTGAGTGGGGCTGCTGGTGAGCTGGCAAGATGTGCAGGAAGGGTGGGGGTGCATAGCCAGGGGCTGCTCCAGGGGCCAGTGGCCCAGTGGAGCCCAAGGCTGAGGGCAGGCTGAAAGGTGGAGGGGTCCCTGCATGAAATCCCTGCTTGTCAAAACTCTAAGGGCAAAGAAGACAACGGTGAGGGTCAGTTTTTGCTGTACCTCCTGACAACCTACACATCCACCTCTGTCCTCCCCCTCACCTGATTCTTGTAGACGGAACCAGTCATATCAGGTAGGCCAGTGGTGCTTGAAGACACTGATGCTCCTAGGAGGAAAAGCAGTTGGTCCCATCTCCAGGGTCCCCCAATTCCAGGGGCACTCAGGGGTAGCCCTGCCTGTGAGGGGGTCAGGTAGAAGGAGACAACTACTTCGGGCCGCAATCCTGGATAGGAGAGACGAACACTACCTTTGCCAGGCCCAGAACCTGCAGACTTGGTTGGTGTCTGTGATGATCCACCATAGCCACCTTTGGTGTAGTCTCCCACTGCTGTCCCCTGGGTCAGGTCATCATAACCTAGCACAGCACGGTACAAGAGGCCTGTGTGAGCCAGAAAAGCCTGTCTTACCCTGTCTCAGTGCGGGGAGCACCCTTCACCTGTGCCGTAGCTGTGCTGGCCATAACCACCGGCCTGCTGGAAGGGGGTGGTAGGGGTGCTGAGGTTCACACCGTGCTGCTTGGCTGAGGCTGGAGGGACCTGGCGGGGCAAGCAGATGGGGCATCAGCGTAGGAACAAGGCAACATGGAGCAGATCAGGTATTCCCTGCCTCAGGCAGGAGGCTACGGAGACCTGTGCTTCATTATTAGTACGACACATGCAGGGTCCAAATGCAGAAAGGGGCACTGAAGCCCAGATGAGACCGAGTGGGGCCATGATTCTGCCTCCTTGCTTCTGCTCCCAGGAGCTGGAACATAGGTCCCAGGTTTCACCCTTCCAGTGACCCAAGGCCAGGAGGAAGAATCACACCCCCCCCTCCAAATACTCACAAACACGGTAGGCCCGTATTGGAAGCCACTGGGCATGCCTGTATAGTAGGGAAGGCCAGCGTAGCTGTAGCCAGGTGGCAGCGCAGGATTCAGAAAGGGCTGCTGGGCTGTGTGGTGGGTCTGGGATTGGCTCTGCTGTGGCTGAGCTAGTGTAGTAGGGGGCGCAGGGGATGCAGAGTCACCACGGCCAAATTTTGTAACATCACCTAGAAGAAAAGCGTTGCCTTGGGTCACCAACCCTTACCCAACCAGGGTCACCAACCCTTACCCAACCAGGAAAAAGTCAAACATGGCTCCTGCAAGTAAGAATAGGTCTGGCTTCCAGCTCAGTATGGGGAGCTAAGAGGCCTCTCTCAGCTCTTCTGCTTCTGTTTTCCAGACTCCTGGATTAGCTACAGGCCAGCCCCATAGCCACCCACTCCTCACCCACTGAATTGACTCACCTGAATATGGATTATTAGCTAGGCTCCCATCTCGGCTGGCAAGGGCTGTGGGTGCAGCAAAGGGAATTCCATAGTAATCCTAGGAGGGACCAGGGAGGCTCAATCGGCAAGTGGCCTTGCCCCACTCCCAAGAAAGTAGACCCAGCACAAGAAACTCTAGGTGATGCCATACTTCCGAGATGGGCCACACACCTAAAAGCAAGCACTCACGGAGAACTCCAAGGACTTGGCGCCTGTCGGAGATGTGCAACAAGGCAGCCTGCTTAGCTGGCTAGCACACAGACCGACCAACCCTGCAGCCTTCGCCAGCCAGAGCCATCGGAAGCCCAGCCTCACACATCCATTTTATATCACAGACAGATGCTTGTGAATGACACAGACTGAATCAACTTTGCTCGCTTTTCCTGTGTGAGATTAACCAGCAGCTATGAAAGTTGACCAAACAGAACAAACCTGAAAAAGGACACAGCAGGAGGAGGTGCCTAAAGGGTTCAATAGGGGACAGGAAGCAGCGCCAGGGAGGCACAGGTACACCCAGGACCCAGGTGAGGCCTCAAACTGGCCCATCACTCCCCGCCTCTGCCCTAGCAATGCTGACACTGCACACCACCCAGGGGCCAGTCTGACAGACCCAACAACGTGGAGAAAAAGAGAACCAAACACAGTAGAGCTCTGTGGAGAAGGGGAGGCCTGCCCTGACCCTTATTTACACCTCCAGGGCCTCTCAGTCCTAGACATATCTGTCTTCTAAGCAAAGGAAAAGCCCCCGGGCTGCCCCAAACCCATGGCCAACAATGCTGGGTCACAGCCAGACAAGGCCATCCTGGCTAGGAATGGCACTCACACCCTCCTTTGGACATACCTCCAGCCAACCTCCAGGAAACCCATAGCAGCCCACAGCACCCACAGCATCCCCAGGAGGACGTAGAGCTGGGAGAATGCAGAGCGGGTAGGATCGCAACTGGGAAGAGGCATAGAGAAAGCCCAGAAGGGGGAGCTCTTTCATCCAAGGCAGAGAATCTGAAGGTGGGAACTAGGCACTAAAGTAAAAGAGGCTGAGGGGCATGGTCGCAGTGCCTGCAGTCCCAGCTACTCAGGAGGATTGCTGAGCTATGATTGCACCACTGCACCACAGCCTGGGCAACAAAGTGAGACCTTGTTTTAAAAAAAAAAGTAGCAGATGTTAACAAATGACCCAAGGGACAATAAAAAACAATGTATCTGAAAAGGTGGGCTTTGGAAGGGATTTCCTCTAAGACTTAAAATGATAAAAGCACAAGAGGGCCTGTGAATAGGGGTGGAGAGCCATGGAGAGCCCCTGAAGCAGAATCCCAGGGCTGATATCCCCTGTGGAGACTCCCTCAGGACCAGCTGCTGCTTCAGGAATATCTCTGAGATCCTGCGAGGGCTTCGGCCTTCAACTAGCACACTGATGGGCTGCTGGTCTGCACATGAGGGAATGAGATGCTCAGCTCTCAGCCTCTGCCTCTGGAAATACGTCCAGCAAATGGAAAAGAACGTCTCTCTTGAGACAAGCAGTTCCATAAGCTCTTTGTGGCCTCTCAGAGAAGGGGGAAACACCAGTGATGAGGAGGGACAGGTGACACCTCAATGGGGAGGAAGCCTCTTCCTCTGGGATCAGGAAAGACCACATCCAGCATAGGTGAACACCACTGCCCAAGCTCTCTAACAGGCACCCTGGGACATGTCAGACCAAGAGGAGAGTAGTTACCCAGAAGGAAATCCCGCCGGCTGGCAAGGCAAGAGCAGGCCTGCTTCCCAGGAGTCTTTCCCCGCAGTCCTGTTAATGTGGCTATCCCTGGGAGCGCCCAGGGCCTTATCCTGGCACCAAGGATCAGAATGAAGAAACTACGAGGCCTCAGAGTGAGGAAGCAACCACCAGGGAGATCCCAGGGCAGGCATTCTTGCAAATACAGGTGGGAGACCAGACCCAGAAGAGACCTTAGAGACTGTCAGCTCCACCATTCATTCAGCTGGCATCACAACTGGAACCTTTGGCCACCTGGGCCTAAAAGACACTGTATAGTACTCCAAGGCCGAGTAAACAACCTCCACGTCACTCTGTTGCCTGGGCTGAAATGCAGTGGCATGATCACAGCTAACTGGAACTTCTAACTCCTGGAGTCACGTGATCTTCCTGCCTCAGCCTCCTGAATAGCTGGGACTACAGGCGTGCACCACCACACCCCACTAGTTTTTTGTATTTTTAGTAGAGACAGGGCCCTGCTCTTGCTCAGGCTGGTCTTGAACTCCTAACCTCAAGTGACCCTCCCACCTCAGCCACCAAAAGTGCTGGGATTACAGGCATGAGCCACCACACCCAGCCTAGTTTTTCTTTTTGGAAGAGAGAGACAGATGAGGAGGGAAAGTAAGGACAAACATTTAGTAGGGGACATGGTATACTGGGGTGCCAAGTCCCAAAGGCCATCATGTTCCCCAGAGATGAGCACAGGACACTGACATGTATGGATGTACCAGACACAACCACCAAATGGTGGCAGCCTGCTTGGCGGCGGTGCTGAGGGGGTTCCTTAGGCCAAGGATCCTAAGGGCCAGGGCCGGATAGGGCGGCAATCAGGACTAAGGGAGGAGCTTGCCCTTCCACCTTCTGCTATGTGAGGACACAACAGGAAGACCCTGACCAGACCAAAAGTCAGTGCCTTGATCTCAGACTCAACAGCCTCCAAAACCGTGGGGAATAAATTTCTGTTATTTTAAAAAAAAAAGACCAGGCCGAGCGCGGTGGCTCACGCCTGTAATCCTAGCACTCTGGGAGGCCGAGGTGGGCGGATTGTTGAGCTCAGGAGTTCGAAACCAGACTGAGCAAGAGCGAGACCCCATCTCTACTAAAAATAGAAAGAAATTAATCAGACAACTAAAAATATATAGAAAAAATTAGCCGGGCATGGTGGCGCATGCCTGTAGTCCCAGCTACTCGGGAGGCTGAGGCAGGAGGATCGCTTGAGCCCAGGAGTTTGAGGTTGCTGTGAGCTAAGCTGACGCCACGGCACTCTAGCTGGGGCAACACAGTGAGACTCTGTCTCAAAAAAAAAAGACCAAAGGAGAAGGGACGTGTAAGAGTCTGAACCCTATGCTCCCACCATGCCACATCCCACACTCACCACTGGCAGCCGTGACTGCAGCATCTGGAGTTCATCATAGCCATAGATCTGTGTGAGGACCAGAAAGGGCATTTTAGGGACCACACACTATCCCCTGGGAGGATTGGGCCTTCATAGGGGCTCAAACAAGGTTGGAAGGCTGGGACACACCCAGGAATGGGACTCGGATAAGGTGCTGTGGGAACAGATCCTGCCCCAATGGAGTCTAGATGGAGGACACATCAGGGATCAGAGGGGCAGAGACAAGGGGCTCTGCAGGTTAAGAGCAGCCTGAGGTGGGCACCTTGGCCCAACCTAAGGCTCCCCTCACCAGGTGCCAGCCCGAGGCCAGGGGAGCTGGGGCTCACCAGGAGCTCCACCGTGCGCTCACCGGGTAGGCAGGAAGCAGTCCTCCGGGGCCCACGAGGTACTGGTTGTGCAGCAGGGGAGGTATTCCCTGCGGCAAGTTTGGGGGTGCTTTGCCTGCAGAGGGAAAAATCAAATGGAACGGAGGAGTCACCACAAAGAGTGAGATTCCTTTGCTGCTTTGGGAGGAGGAGGCAAGGTCACTGAGCTATCCCGGATGAGGCCACGGCCAAGAGGGGAGGGCAGTGACCAAGAGATAAAGGGCCAGGCTATGAAGGAGCTTGGGGGAGACAGAGGGCACGTGCCACCTTATTTAGGCTGTTTCAATAGCTGGGAATTCAGTGCCCAGAAGCACCTTCCTCCCCCCCCCAATCCTAAAAGTCACACAGCACCGAGCAAACATGAACAAAAGAAACAATCTGCCTCCTCAGAACAGAAGAAGGAAGCCACACAGCGCCAGGAGAGGGACAGGCTGCGTCAGTGGTGGGTTGTTCCGGTTTTCTCCCCCAAGTCTGCTTGGCCAACACACATAGCCTAGGTCTGGTTGACAACCAGTCACACCAAGTGTCCAGAAGGAGCCCATGATAGGACACCCCTGAATCCCTCCAATCACCATGTCAGCTCCACTCCAGGGCTGAAAAGAGACAGAAAAAACTGGGGAGCTAAGAGCACAAAGCTGGCAGGAATCCTGGCCAAGGGGAGTGCCTCCACTCATCCCACACCAGGGCTGGAAGGATCAGGCCTCAAGAGGGAAATGGAACACAACAGCAAAATCTAGCAACGGCAGGGCCAAGTGAGAATATAATCTGATGCTTGTGGCTAGCCTCCACGCTCTGGCAGCCACCTCTGGGTCCCTTTCCTGGGAAGCCATGGGTGCACATTTGAGAGGGACAGGAGCAGGCAGGAAAGGCCTCTGGAGCACATACCTGAAGTCACCAAGGGTGCAGCCCTGGTACTGCTACTGGGTGCACTCGCAGTGGTCCCACCCAGGCGAAGGCTGTTCACTGTGTTCATGTTACTGGGCAGGCTGGCACCCGAGGATGCAGAACTGGAGGCGGAGGTTGCTGCCGTTGAGAAGTTGGCTGAGGACTGGAGGGAAGGAGTGCTCTCCACACTGGCGTGCTGGCAAAACAAAAATCAGGACACATCGATCTAGAGGCAAAGGAAGAGGGTGCTGAGAGAGCCTGGCCTAGCATCTAGGCCTGCAGTCTCAAGGTTCGACGGGGAGGTGACAATGCAACCACCAAGGGATTCTAAGGAGGGGAGGGGCTCAGGGATCACTGTGGCCCCTCACACAGCAGCTAGATTCAGCCATCAAGATGTAACTCAAAACAATTAAAATTGAGCTCTATGACCAAAATCCTCTGAAAAAAATCCTTCAAGTTACTCATGCTTTGATATCTGAAACAAGGCATAGAAACCCCAACATAACTTCAGATCATACATGAACACAGGCAATTTGAATATGGGGTGAGTATCCACCTCCCAGAAAAGCAAATAGTATCAGAAGAGCCGACCCAAGGGCCCCAGGCAGCCCAGTGAGTCTGAGTGTTTTGAGAATTTCCTTCTATTGGGCTGCTTAGCTGCTCTGGTCTGGAAGGCACGGGAGTCTGAGAGAGGCCTTTGCTCCAAAACCTGGTGACACCTTATAATCCAACAGTGCCTTGTATGACCTGCCACTGTGCCTGCTCAACAGGACCCACCTGGGGAGGAAGAGCAAGACCCTAAGTTCCAGGAATCCTGCCCAGCTGTTCAACCCTAGTGACAGGGTTCCATGAAAAGCTTCCTGTGCTGAGGCGGGTAGGTGGGAGAGATATACCTGGTTGGGCAAAACAAGTGCCAAAAAGGTAGAAAAAAGCTAAGAGTGAGACCAGACTCCAAACCAGAAATAATGTAAAGCACAGAAACTCCTGGAGGAGAAGCCAAAGAGTAGGGAGTCCCCAGGAGAAAGGGGACCACCACGTGCTTTACCTCCGCAGCCGCAAACTCTCCGTCAAGTCCCATTCCCACAGCCATCCCTATACGTTTGAGTCCTGGTTTTAAGCATCTAACATCCAAACTAGATTCACCAAAGTGAAGACAGCTGAAAACATGGTTTCCGAGGCCTACCAGGGACTCCTGCTCTTTCAGCATAGATGGGACGGAACCAGACAGGAAAAGCAGGACCAAGGTGTGCTGCCCTGCCCGGCACCTATGCCACAGTACCCTGTAAGGAGCCAGACTTCCTACCCGAGACCACCCGCCACAGAACCCGGAACAGCTCTGACCAACGCTTCCAAGTATAGTATGACTGGTCAGGCGACCTTTCAACCTATAACCACAGAAGAAAAAAGGAACATTCTCCAACCATGTAAGACATGCTTATCAGAGAACTAGTCCCTGACTTACTGAAAGGAACAAGAGTCACCGAGCAAGCCTTTCCTCCTTCAGCTGCCCCTGTCAGGGCTCCTGTATCTGCCCTGACCTCCCAGAAGGGTGAAGGCACCAAACTGCTGGCTTAAGAGGCCAACAGCACATTGAAAGGTCCATCCAATGGGGCCTGTGCAGTCGGCTCCCCAGAATGGGCCCAGAGAGGAAAGGACAGAAAAAAATCACTGAGATTTCCTTTATACTCTTGCAGCGGGAAAGATCTAACTGAGAGACTATGAAAGAAAAGACATTTATCTGAATGACTACAAATAAAAAAAATTGTATTTATAAAATGAGAAATTCAGGAAAAATATTGGCACCTTCCATCACAAAGAGCTACTAGTCTCCCTAATATAGTGGGTGCCTAGAAACAGAGACCAAGGACCTAAAAGAAAAGGAAGCAAGAATGTAAATAGCTCAAAGAAAAGGAAATTCAATGGCTTTCCAATGAAGTACAAATACTCCATAACATTTTGAGAAACAGGACATTTTGTTCATTGTCAGTGGGAGGTAAACAGGTTAAAATCACTACGCAGGGCAATTTGGCAACTTGTATAAAATGACAAATGTCTAGCAGTTCCACCTCCAGGATTTACCCTCTAAACACATCTGTACACATAAACGTATATAAGGTTCTCAAATGCAACACTCTCTAGTGTCAAGATGGGAAACAGCCCTCCATGGGGGACTACTTAAATACAGTAATACAGTAGACTATGAAAAAAGAACAAAAACTTCATGTTTCAACATGGAAACATCCCTAGGATACTGTTCAGTGGGGGAAAAAGTTGAAGGCCACTCTCTAGAGAATATTTTTGTTTATTTAACAGGAAAAAGAACGAACAGGGCAGGAAACAAGGGGAGGAACAGGAGGTGGAGGGACAGGAACAAGCAGACCAGACACAGAGAACCGTTTCACTACGTATCTTTTTATAAATACTAAATGTTATGAATATTCATTTGACCCTTGAACAACATAGGTTTGAACTGCACAGGTCCACTTAAATGCGGATTTTTTTCCTGAACCTAACACAGCATGAAAATACAGCATTTGCCAGATGTGAAAACCTGCGGATACAGAGGGCTGACTTTGTGAAAATGGGTTCCGCATGCTCTGGGACTCGAGTCTGCACAGATTTTGGTATACTCAGGGGTCCAGGAACCAATCTCCTGCATATCCTAAGGGACCATTGTATTAGCAATGTGAAAATTCTGTCACACTGACAAAGTGTGGAACTAACTGGATGAGACAATTCTGGCATGGAAGCTTGGATTCTGTATCTATAGAGTTTTTCTGAGACACGGAGCACAGCTGCCCATGTGTGCAAGAGCTCCCCAGCACAGCCAGCTCTGCGGTGCTCATCATGACAAGCCATGAAGGACAGAGGCAGGTAGAGGTGTCCACACTGTGCTCTCCTTTGAAGGTGGTGGTTTAAGTGTCTTATGACAAAAGACTGTGTACAGAATTTCACTTGGAACACTAGAATTTGAAAGCTACAGCGTCAACCAGATCCGAATGGAAGGACACATCTCCCCTTTTCCACCACCTCACGTTAGGTGAGCTGATCCCTTCTTCAGAGGAAACAAATTTCACCAACTTCCTGACTCCCCTACCCAAGATGACTGCCTGTACTCAAATCCTGCCTCCTTGCTTGTGGACCCACCTATTCCAACCTTGCCTAAGCCTCCTGCAGCCCAGGAGCACAGACATTTTGTTGCTTCCAGACACCTTTCTATTCACCTAAGCTTATGCTCAAGTCTCTGTTAACTTTTCCTGAAGCACTGTCCAATAACCCGCCCCTCTCCATTTCACTACCATTCAGTCCTCAACCCACCACAATCTGGCCTAACCCCTACCACATAAAACCATGCTCCCCATTTCAGAACCCACTGTGCCACTTCAATAACCGTAATCCAGGGTTATTTTTAGGCACATGAGGACACTTCCCGGCTGCCACTCCCATGTGGACCCTGTCCCAGCCTGGCGTCCTCCACAGCATGCTTCTGCTCCACTCTTGCCTCTGCACCCTCCACGCTTCCCCCTTCAGTGTCCACCTTCCCAGAGTCTCCGCCTCGGAGCCAGGGAAGATGGCACAAGGAAAGACCAAACAGGACACCTAACGGCTGCTACTAGGAAGTCCACATAGTGACCGGCAGAGTGGAATACAATTACACTGACAGGACTAACTGCGAGGACTGGCAGTCTCAGAGAGATGAAGGTGCACGTATGTGCTTGTGGCAAAGAACGGGTGCTCCTCACAAAGCACTGCCTTTTCCCTCCAAGCACTGTCTCTACACTGGCCATAACAAAGTGAAAGAGGAAACGATACTCTTGATTAAACTTGATCAGTTCAGTGGAACCCAAGGTGGAGTTAGCAATTGAGACTACTTTCCTCTAAAAAGCCTTCAAATGCCTCAACATAACAAGGCCCAGAAAATAAAACCTCTGCTGCAGGGTAAAAGCATCTCCTATTACGCTTAGCAAATTCCTGGGAGCAAGATCACTACATGATCACTACGTGTGACAGCCTCATCAATGACATATTAGGTCTACAGCAGCAATTCCTCCAACGAGCCACCGACTTAGAAAGGAAGGTGTTCTCCATGGTGCCCAGGAAATCGGCAACTCGAACCAGATAACTCAGTCCAGCCATTTCAGCCACACAACTCTAGATCATCTCAGATGCTGAACATCAATAAACTAAAGCCTCAGCTGCATGTGATTAATCTCCAAGCTCACTAAGCAGGGAGGTGAAGGAAACTGCATGGACACTTACTGTGTGTGATGTGCTCGAGGAGAGTGCTCCATGCTCAGAGGAGAGGCTGCTCTGATGACTGGAGAGGGTACTAGAAGACAAAACAGAGCACCACGTGTCCACCCAAAAAAGTCACTCCACACGCACAAGTCCCCCTCAGCTTGGTGGGCTAGATTCAACCTTGCCCCTAATCCCTAGGGAAGCCCTAGCTTCAGACCCATCATTTTTTATCACCTTGGAACCAGTGATAGGATCCTGGTAGTTAGAAATGACCTAAAGGAGCATTTGCCATGAAATCTGGTACATCATAGCCTGGGAAACCTCCAGAGCCACCTTTAGTCAACTATACCCACGAGCTCTTTAGACTAGACAGAATTGCACTAAGAAAACTGCCATCCTGGAGACCCCATTAAATCTCTGAATGAGGGGAACATGTCCCATGTTCAGAGTCAGAGCCTTAACTCCCATCAAATCCAGAGTTCAAATCAAACAGTTCTCCTCCTGGCTAAAGAGAGATGGAGGGGAACTCTACTCAGGAGTCACAGATAACAAACAAACCCGTCTTCCTACACTCTGTTCTAATAACTCTGAAGCCATGACAAGTGCAAGTCAGACACTTGCCAGAAATACAACATCATTCTCACTCCACCTCATAGTGATGTGGGCCCAGAGCTGGGAGGAGAGGTGCATGGCACCCTCCTGGGGTCCAAGAATAGTAGCAGGAAGCTATTGGCCTCACCCTATTCCCAGGAGACCCAGTGCTCTATGCCAGCAGAAGCATTAAAAGCAGGCAAAGTTTCCATATCTGATGGTTTTGAGACTCAATCTGACTAATACCTAAGCTAGAGTATTAATGCAAAAGCAAAGGACATCAAGCCAGAGTCAACAAGTGTGTTTTGTTCGTGGAACAACCTTCTTTAGGGGCTCCAGGACTTTGTTCCAATGTACTTTTCTGGGCCCGCATTTCCCCCATACCTGCTAAGCTGGGAGAGGGGGCTGCTGGACAGGGCCCCAGTGTGCTGGGATGCAGAGGGTAGAAGCGCAGTGCAAGAAGTGGTGCTGGGCAGGGAGCCCACAGATGAGAGGGTGGAGGGAGGGTCTGCTGTCTTTGGAGCTGGAACGGATGAAGTAGCTGTAAGAGACAGATCTGTTTAGCTCCAGAACCATTCCTGAGTATCTGAAATAAGCTCAATATCTTGTGACATGTCAGGCTCATCTGAGACATATGTAAAGTTACATTCCCTGGGGAAATGCCAAGTGTGTCACCAAATAGCTCCATCTCTGTCAGATAGGACTACCAAAAGACACACGATGGTCAGCCATGCAAGACTCAGGCAAAGAGCAGGAAATCACACTTTCTAATTAAATCTGTCCTATGGTGTGGACATAATTCTCCCACCAAAAGGAACCTGACACTTAGATGCACCCAGAAAGAAAAGAGGTGCCGAGATTTGTATGTACAATTATAAAATGAGGCAAATTTTTCTCAAAAGACACAGCAAGGGAAAATGAAAAGCTGATGGTTAAGACGACCCAAGAGTGCATCTACCAAATCAGGCTGACATTGCCAAAGCTCACAGCCACTTTTGGGCAGGGGAGGGTTAAAAACCTAAAATGCATACCTTGTGGAGAGATATATATGCCTAAAATCTGCAGAAAGAACAGACACCTACTTTTAAAGCATAGTGAGAATTTCCTTGGCATGTGCTTTAACAGATTAATCCCAGAGCATATAAATGAGCTTATTAGGCTTCAGACAGGACACAGATACAATCAATCCTAGCTAGGAAAAGACTCAGTTTTCATGCTGTCTGCACACAAACTCAGATATGTGCTTGGATATAAAACATCATTGTCTTTTCCAGTTAGGAAGGTAGGAGCAACCTTGACCCTCCTGCAGGATTCCCTCAGAGGCCACTGGCAAGCACTAAAAGGAAAGCGAGTCGAAAACAAACACAGGCAGTAACAGGGTCAACACACAACTAGGTCAATTCTTACAAAGGCTTTTACATTCATGAATCCTTTTTACTGACAGTCTATTCCAGGTATGAAACCTGTTCTTAGAGAAACTGGATGACACCACAGATGTACCACACTAAAAACTAAGACCCCAAAGGGTACCTCCCTGAGCCTTGGATGGCAATGATAACAGGTTTCCAGCAAGCCTCCCTATCTCTCAAAGAACAACAAATGGGGAGGGGGGGTGGAAATGGAAGAAGAGAGGTTAAGAAATAAAAACTTAACTTAAATGTATTCTACGTTTTCCAGATACTTCAATTCTCGACCCCACACCTGGACAAAAGAAACCTGCAACAACTGCTGCTAGAATGAGATGCTCCTCGGTCATCCAATAAAGCTCAGAGCTACCAACATATCTCCAAACAGCCCTCCAAAACCAAATCCTGGTGCCCCAAATCTGTCCTTGCAATTCCAACTGAGGTTCACCTCTGCTGAAGTTCCATATCCACAATCCCAAAAAATTCCAATTAAAAAAAGTCTTTCTGGCTCCCACACCCATTGACATACTGAATGAAGAAAGCAAACCACTATAAACAATCACAGAAAAGCTACCCAAGCACAAGGGAAACAAACAAATAAAATGCATTCACCTGCACTATCGCTAGTGATCACTGAGCTGGGGACACCGCTGGAACTCATTTTTTTTCCAAACATCCACAGTGAACATTTTATCTTTCTTCCTAAGCAACGGTCCTTCAAGTCCTGAAGACAATGAGCATGTCTTTCCTGAACTAGGACAAGAATTTTTTGCTTTAAAAGTTCTTCATAATGTTAGTGTGATAGCCTTTCCACCAACTTGGAACCCTGTGTCATCTTTTAAATGCATACTCCACACTGCACTTGTGCTACAGCCTGATTAGGGGAAGAATATGAGACTATCTATTACCTCCTTCTTGCTGTAGCTTTGACATTTCTACTAACACTACCAGCTACCACCTACTTACACGGGAATCTCTAATTGACCTTCTTAACCCTGACAAGGAAGCAGGAGTTGGTTTCTTTTAACTAATGAACATGGCTTCTCTCTGTGTTCCAATGATGGATAAGAAGCGGTTACCAGAAAACATGTAAAAGGGCTGTTACAAAGAATGAGCCATTGCCAATTGGTGTTATCCACATCACATTAGCTATGCCCTTTCTCTCCCTTTCCACCAGCCATGGCGAGAATAGTAAACTGATATACTTACTGTCTAGTGTCTGTTGACTTCGACCACCACCATGTCCATTCTATAAGGAACAGAAGAGAAAGTATGAAAACCCACAAAATCAAATGATTACCTAGAAGACTTTCTACTGGGATTCAGTGACAAGCATGTAAAACAGAGATAATCAAGGAACAACGATCTGTTCTACTCTATTTCTTAATAAAGGAGAGGCAATAAGACAAACTCTATAATGCCATGTAACTGACATTTTTTAAAACCAGATTTGGAATTTGGGGAAATAACAAGGACACAACATAAGACTCAAATCATAGGAGGCAATAAAACATTCCTAAAACAATTACTAAAACGTCCAAATATACAAAGAACTCAAAGTCCCATTATAGCTAATACACCATCATATATCATGTTAGTTGTCTCCCGAGTACTACTAAAGCAAGAAAGAAAATGTTTCAAGATTATTTAAAAAATAAAAAGGTAACTCCTATACCAGGAGTCGTCATATTTTATATTACTAGCAAAATGATTCTCAGAAAAAAAGAGGTGCTTCCTTGAAACATGGCTTTTCTGATGTAGGTGGATAGAGAGTAGGATAGGACACTGTGGTAGCTCTAAAAAGAGCAAAAACTGAAAACAACCAGTTGAAGCTAACCATAAGATATTTCACTGGAATTAACATGCAAGAAAAAAGAGTCCTCAGAAAAATGACTTTTGCCTCCACAGACTAAGCAAGGGAGACATGGCATGGAGCAATCAAAAGTAGAAACTGGCCAGGTGCAGTGGCTCATGCCTGTAATCCCAGCAGTTTGGGAGGCTGAGGCAAGAAGATACCTTTGGCCCAAGAGTTTGAGGTTTCAATAAGCTATGATCATGACACTGCACTCTAGCCTGGGCGACAGAGTGAGACTCCGTCTCGAAAGAAAGAAAGGAAGAAAGGAAAGGAAGGAAGGAAGCAGGGAGGGAGGGGAGGGGAGGAAAAAAGGAAAGAAAAGAAAGGGAAGGAAAGGGGAAAGGGAAGGGAAAAGGGAAGGGGAAAGGGAAAGGGAAGGAAAGGGAAAGAAAGAGAGGGGAGGGGAGGGGAGGGGAGGGGAGAGGGAAGAGAAAAGAAATACAGACAATAAAATAGAACTACTGGGGAAAAAAATTCTGAAGTTAGAAAAAGATTTTGGTCAGGGAAAAAGGGAAACACAACATACCTCACTAAATATAGAAACACAGGTAGAGAATACTCAATGTTGTAGTCTTTGCCTCAGTCTAAACTAAGGTCCACTCCCTACTAAATATTACAATGAGGTATGATCACTCCAGCCTGGGCGGCAGAGCAAGATCGCCTCTTTTACCCAAAAAACAAAAACACCAAAAAGAAAAAGCACCAAACAGAAAGCAAAGGAAAGGGGTCAGGCAACAGCAATCATCATACGTGAAGAACATTCCATTCCGCCTTGAAAATCATTTCAAATGATGGACACACCAACACAGCAGAGGGGTCATATTATTTGGGTTGGGGAAAATTCTAGACAAAAGAATAGCAGGAGCAAAAGCAAAGAACTATCAAGGGTCAATAGAGAACATAAATCTAGAGAAGAAATTGAAATCTATTAAATAATCAAGGAAGGAGGTGAAAAATGATGGAAGCAAGGAGAGTAGGAGGTCAGGTTGGAAGAGGGACTGAGATGTCCTGCAGATGACCAGGATTGACACGTGGATAGAACATGGTCTGATTTATGTTGTAGAACAGGACAGACCAGCACTGTGCAAGAGAACTTTTTGTAATAATGGAAATATTCTATGTCTACATGGTCCCAGGCTATAGCCACTGACCATATCTAGGTAATAAGCATTTAAAATGTGGCTAGTGTTTCTAAAGAACTGAATGTTTAATTGTTTATTTAATTTTAATTAAGTTTAAATAGCCATATGTGGCTGATGGTTGCCACACTGGCAAGTACAGAAATATATTTCATATTAAAGATGACAAATCAAGAACATATGGCTTTTTAAAACAACGAGTAGGCCAGGTGCAGTGGCTCACGCCTGTAATCCTAGCACTTTGGGAGGCCGAGGCGGGAGGATCACCTGAGGTCAGGAGTTCGAGACCAGCCTGAGCACAAGCAAGACCCAGTCTCTACTAAAAATAGAAAGAAATTAGCTGCATTTATTGGATGTTGGGCAGGGGGAGGGGGGAGAAGGGGACGGGAATATGCACAAACAATGAGCGCGATGCGCACCTCCGGGGGAATGGACACACCTGAAGCTCAGACTTGGGGGGGAGGGAGGGCAAGGGCATCATACGTAACCTAATCATCTGTACCCCCATAATATGCTGAAATAAAAAAAAAAAGAAAGAAAGAAATTAGCTGGACAACTAAATATATACATATATATATATAAAATTAGCCAGGCATGGTAGCGCATGCCTGTAGTCCCAGCTACTCGGGAGGCTGAGGCAGGAGGATTGCTTGAGCCCAGGAGTTTGAGGTTGCTGTGAGCTAGGCTGATGCCATGGCACTCTAGCCTGGTCAACGGAGTGAGACTCTCTGTCTCAAAAAATAAATAAATAAATAAAACAATGAGTAAACCAAGAAAAATAAACAGGTGAAAAAATGATAGTAAAAAAATTTTCTGTGTGTAGAAAGCATACAGAGGATAGTAACTGACTCAGCTGACCTGGAAAAGCTGAATCCTAAGCCAGTAGTAGGGAAGATCAGAAAACAACCCAACTTATATCATCAAAGAACCATACCAAACACCTCAGTACTGATCTACACTAGCTAACTTTGGAAGTACGAGTGGAAGTGAGGCTAAATGTAGGAGGATTGGCTTAAAATCTGCAAAGACCTAGATCCCCTTGTCTTCTGGAGGATGACTTCCTCCTCCCAGCTTCTCCCACAGGCTCTACACATCATCTGGAAGGCAACGTATGGCTCGGCTAAGGTATTATAAAAAACAGATGGATCCAGTCAATGTAGACACAGTGAATAACGTAATGCCAGCCTTCTGTTACAATTAGGGTCTCGGACACTAATGGACAGAGGTGAGCCCTACAAGAAAGAGATTGGAAGAATATTCCCTGGGAATCCACACGAGCTCATAGTTACCCTATGCCCCTTCACACTGACTGACCACCATCAGTCAATTTACCAGTATTAAGAATAAGAAAAGGGGCCGGGCGAGGTGGTTCATGCCTGTAATCCTAGCACTCTGGGAGGCCGAGGCAGGCGGATCGTTCGAGCTCAGGAGTTCGAGACCAGCCTGAACAAGAGTGAGACCCCGTCTCTACTAAAAAGAAATTAGCTGGACAACTAAAAATATATATATAAAAAAATTAGCCAGGCATGGTGGTACATGCCTTGTAGTCCCAGCTACTTGGGAGACTGAGGCAGAAGAATCGCTTGAGCCCAAGAGTCTGAGGTTGCTGTGAGCTAGGCTAACGCCACGGCACTCTAGCCCGTGCAACAGACTGAGATTCTGTTGCACACACAAAAAAAAAGAATAAGAAAAGAAGCTGGGTATGGTGGCTCATGCCTGTAGTCCCAGCTACTTGGGAGGCTAAAATGGGATGACCCCTTGAGCCCAGGAGTCCAAGATCAGCCTGGGCAGTACAGTGAAACAGTCTCTACAAAAAATAATAGAAAAGGAGAAAAAATATGACAAAGAGATCTGGTTTCTTTATCTATAATGCGATATTTTTAACAAAAGCTGGGTGGAAAACGTAAATTTTAACACAACATCTAATGGTGACGCAGCAGCAAGTACAATCACAGAAAATAAGTCAATTATGGGAGAGAAGAGTTCAGGAAATACTCAGAGAGGTGGGCGGGGTCAAATCATGTAAAAGTACCCAGTACCACAGCCAAAGCACTTATGCTACACTGAGGCTTGGATTTCTCCACAAAGTTTGTGTGCCTGCAGATGCATCCACATACCCGAGTGCACAGGTGCTACTACAGAGAAGCCCACTATATCCACATTCAAGAAATTATAAGGACTCTACTCGAAAAATCATCCAATTTCTAAAGTAAACTCTTATCCAAAAAGCATAATTTACCAAACTAAACACTAACTTCCAAATAAGATACCCTAAGAGAAGAAAACTGAAACACCATTTACCATGATGGTTCCTGGAGCTGACTCCGATGGATTCACAGGGCTTTGGTATGCGATCCTGTCGTGCACAGAACTCTGGTCATAGGAGGAAGACGTCGTTACCGGATTAGTGGAGTTGAGGGATGCGCCGGTCAGACTGGAGGAGGTAATGACAGAAGTTGTATAGGTGGAGTTCTGTACTGCACTAGTCACTGGTAAAGAGGTATTCAAAGGCTCACTAAAAAGAGTAAAAGGTATTAGACATAAATTTATGTCACTTTACAGAGCTTCATGAAATAGAACTAGGTCATCGATTTATTATCATATGCTTTATTTATTATTTATTTTAAGCACTGACTATGCAGAGCTAGGTCATTTTATTTATTGAGACAAGCTCACTCTGTCACTCAAGCTATAGTGCAGTGGCATCATAACTGCTCACTGCAACCTCAAGCTCCTGAACTCAAGTGATCCTCCTACCTCAGCCTCCCAAGTAGCTGGGACTACAGACACACACCACCATGCCCGGCTACTTTTTCTATTTTTTGTAGAGACAGGGTCTCGCTCTTGCTCAGGCTGGTATCATGTTATATATTAAATAAGCATGTAACTACAAATTTATAGTCCTCCATTCTTTATTAAAAGAAGAGCAATTCCCACCCACTCCAAAAAATGAGACTCACCTAATTTAATTATCAGTCAGGAGTATATCTTTAAGAATACTTAAGATTCTTTAAGGAATCCAGGTGTATGAGACCAACTTTAAAACGAGAATGCAGCCAGGCATGGTTGCTTGAGGCCAGCAGTTTCAGACCAGCCTGAACAACATAGAGAGACTGTCTCTACAAATAATACAAAAATAAGCCAGGTGTGGTGGCACGCATCTGTAGTCCCAGCTACTTGGGAGGCTGAGGCAGGAGGATCACTTCAGCCCAGGAGTGTGAAGTGGCAGTGAGGAATTATGACACCACTGCACTCTAGCCCAGGTGACAGAACGAGATCCTGTCTCAATCATAAAACAAGAACACAATATCAGCTTTTGCCTCTGGAACATGGAAAAACTAATTAATAAAAAAAAAAATCTGAAATCTGAGATTTTCTATTTATAAAATATTCCACCAAAGATAAATGAATGTTGCTAAGATGTAGAGAAATCGGATCCCTCATAGATTACTGGTAGGGATGTAAAATGCTGCAGCCACTGTTGAAACCGTTTGGCAATTCTTCAAATGGTTAAGAGTTACAGTATAACCCAGCAATTCTATTCCTTGATATACAACCAAAAGAAATGGAAACCACATAAACCTTGAATCCAAATATCCACAGCAGCATGATTTACTATGGTCAAAAAGAGGAAACAATCCAAATGTTGTCCAACTAACGAATGGACAAGCAAAACACATATCAGCGCAATGAAATAACTGGCAATAAAAAGTATACAGACAACAGAAATGAACCTCGAAAAGCTTCTGCTAAGTGAAAGAACCCAGACACGAAAGGCCACATATTGCATGATTATAGTTATGTAATCAAAATGTCCAGAATAGACATGCCCAGAGAGGGATTATTGGTTGCCAGGGGACAGGGAGAGGAAGAAATTGGGGGTTTGTCTGCTATAGGTATGGGGTTTCTTTGGGGAATGATATAAGAAAGGTCTGGAATTAAACAGTGGTGATACCTGCACAAACCTATTACCACAGGATATATTTCTCCACCATTTTCTAGGCTCTGATTTTTGGGGTTATTTTTTGTTTTTTGGGTAACAAAGGACTAATTTCAGTCAAAACCAGAGGAGTGGGAAGTTGAGTACCTTAAAGCCTTAGAATACAAGCTGATGGGAATCTGATTACTATTTTCACTGGTTGGAGTGGATCCAAATTCAGAGAGAGAGGGTTCTGATCCAAATTCCAGAGCTCCAAACTGAACATTTAATCCTGTGACATCTGCTGAACCAGGCATTTCCACTGCAGAAACTGGGATCTGAAAAAGCAAAGCTGTCATGTCAGGAACAGAGATCAGGGACTCCAAGTCACAAAAGCCTATAAACAACAGAGCCAAACAAGTAACTAGGTTCCCCAGGCAACACTGGCAGGAACAAGGAGTGAGAGACAGAAGGGGAAAAAAGGAGTAAGACTTTTTTAAAAAGATAGAGTAAAGGGATAAAAGCAAACTTAAAAGTTAACAGAGGAATGGTCAGTGTTAACGTCACCACCCACTCTAAGAGCACTGGGGACAGAGCTGTGATGGTAAGTGGGTGACGAGGGAGAGTGTACACTGAGCCGACTGGTCTATTTTTAGGGACACACCACAACAAAAGCATAACCTGGTCAAGGAACCACGCTTTCTCCAACTTTGGGATACAACAAAATACACAAGAACAGATTCTCTGAGCCAGATCCTCAAATCTGTATTTGAATTAAGGTTTTTGGCTCTCAGCACAAGTCCATTCTTTCTAATATTAGTCCAGTCACTCAGAAATGGCCAAATCCTCATAAAGCATTAAGCTATGTGCTTGAAAAATACTGTATCACAGTTTCTGAGACTTAGTATTTCTCGACTTGAGCTGTTAAAAGAAATCCACCTTTGGGACCATGATTTCACGCTGGAGTGCCCACCTTAGACGCTGGAGGTATCCGCCGCTTAGAAAGTTTGATGTGCTTCGGCTGTGGTGGGTGGGCAGACACAGTGATATTTTCAACGGTCACGCTGGGAAGCTGCAGAAGTTTGTTCACAGTGGCGGTACTGTCTCCAGGCGCTGATTCTCGGAGTTTTGCCTGGGAAGGAAAGGACTCCAAACCAGGAGGAGGTACAGTGACTGCCTGGATCTGGTGCTGCTGTCTCTGGCTCAACTGGCTAAGAACGGGGGACGGCTCAGGCTGAGATTTGAAGTCTATGAAATATGCAACCAAAAAAAAAGTAAGCAACAATTAACTATTTGCAAACAAGGGCTTGCAACTTCCTCTTCCACTACCACTGATCATGATGGGTCCCACCACCTTCAGTTTCTCCAAAAATCATCATCTAAATTTCTTAAGTGACACGCATTAAAAAAAAAAAGATAGTATCTGATATGGGAACATGATATGATAAAGGGAAAAGGATGTCCCAATAGGTCTGTACCGTGTTTGCTGTGAAGAGAGGTGATGTGGTTCATGCTAAAGCCAATGGGGTGGGTAAGCACAGTATCGAGGTGCTATACACCCCTGGCTGTTAGCTAATAGAGATGTATTTTTATTGTTTTATGCATTTTATACATAATTAACGAATATATGAGATGTTACAAAATCCAAATGGTACAAAAATACATATGAAGAATATAAATCAGCCTTCCACCCCATCCCTATACTTGCTCCACAGAGGGAAACAATGTCGTTTCTTGTGTATCTTCAGAGATACTGTAGCAATATACACACATACATACACAAACACACATACACACTATATATATATATATATATATATATATATACACACACCTTAGTTTCTCACAAACCCCTTAATTTTCAGAGACTGTTCCACATTAACATGCAAAGAGCTACTTCACATTCATCTTTATGACTACAGAGAAATCCAGTGTACAAAACCAATTCTGTATTATTGATGGACCTGTAGGTTTTCTAATCTCTTGCTATACAAAAATGCAGTAAAGAATGTATTTGTATATAAGACATTTTGTTCAAGTACAAATACATCTGTAGTATCAATTGCTAGAATATAGTTGCTGGTTCACAGGGTAAATAAATGTTTTAAATTTTGACAAATACTATTAAAATCACTATCCAGATAGAACATATCCTATTTAACATGCTCTAATATCAAACCTTATCTTCCCTTGTCTGACTGGTAAAAATGATATGAAAGAAATGCAATCTAAAATGATATAAATGCGCTTAAGCATCATTTCTTATACTTAAGCATGCTTTTCATACGGCCTCTATTCATACCTCTGTGGTCAATTTTTTTTTACCTGGTTGTTGATCTGCTTTATGTTTAGTTACTCCTTTTACATTATGGAAATTAATTCTTTTGTCTATGTTACAATTTTCAAAATTTTTTCATTGTTGGTCTACATTTTGATTTGGTGATGGCATTTTCTGTCATACCTAGAAAGGACCCCTTCACACAGAATATATACAAATTCTGCTAGGTTTTTCTACTACTGTTCTAAATTCACTATTTATGTTTAACTATTTGACCATCTGGCATTTTGGCACTGGGATACAACTTCATTTTCCAACCATATATCCAACTGCAATGAACCATTTTATCACCATTCTCTCACAGAAGTCCTACCATAGGACAGAGGTCAGAAATCTTTCTCTGTACAGGGCCAGACAGTACATAATTCTAGCCTTTGAAGGCCACCTGTTAACAACTAGTCAGCTCTGCCTTTGTAGACTGAATGTAGCCAGACTTGGACCTCTCTGGCTGAGTTCCAGTAGAACTTAATTTACAAAAAATAGGCAGCAGTTCCAGTTTAGACAGATCCATTTTTGAACTTGATTATTAGAGGCAGGTATGATAAAGATAGGCTTCATAAAGAATATGGGAATAGCATGCTTATATCTAAAAATCCCTATCATTCATTAGTAAGTGAAGAAAAAATTAAGATAGGAGGTCTACAACTGCTATCAAAAAGACTTGTTTAAAGCTTGGACCGTGTGTTGATCCATTATACACAAAGGGTGCCAAAACGCTAACCAATAAGAGTGGTTCACTGTGCCTAGAATGTCTAGACAAACAATGTGGTTTTTGCTCAAAATCTGCTTTCCAACCAGCCTGGGCAACATAGCAAGACCCTATTCTCTACCAAAAAAAAAAACAAAACACCTTGGGTATTGAGTCTATAATGAGTTTCCTTGGTAGATAGACATCATCTCAAACCTCGGAGCAGTCTCAGGTACTTCCAAGACAGTAAGCCAACTCACTGAGCAGAGAAACTTGCTTTCCTGTCTTGAAAAATGTGCTAAACATAAACCAGCCCACACAACCACATCTATCATTAAATAGAACTGCTATTCCTTAATACAGAGTGGCATATGAGCACTGGTAGGGAATGGTGGTTTAATGTCACAATTTCTGTGAGACTTTAGTTTAGAAAGCATCCACCTTAGACATGGTGCCTTTAAAATACAAACAACAGAAGGTAAAGCTTCACCAAATCATGGTGGATACATACAAATGTTAGAATAAGAAGCATCACAGAAGGTGTGATTTTAAATGTTGTCCACCCTCCACCTGCTGTCACAACCCTATTCTAATAGAGCTCAGAAAATTCTCTTGATACATTTACTCAAAGTGTTAGATACTCACAATTGCATGCTCCTACCATGCTTTTGTACATCTCTTCAAGGCATGTACTACCACTGCTCTTACTACTAATAATAAGATCACCAAGAACAAATAAGTGCAGGATAAACAATAAAAGGAAGATGTTTAATTTAGAAACTCTGTGGGAGTTCTATTAAGAAAAGACATCTTTAAAAGCAGGCACGGTGGCTCACGCCTGTAATCCTAACACTCTGGGAGGCCGAGGCGGGAGGATCGCCTGAGGGCAGAAGTTCCAGACCAGCCTGAGCAAGAGCGAGACCCCGTCTCTACTAAAAATAGAAAGTAGCCAGGCATGGTGGCACATGCCTGCAGTCCCAGCTACTCGGGAGGCTGAGGCAGGAGGATCACTTGAGTCCAGGAGTTTGAGGTTGCAGTGAGCTAGGCTGATGCCATGGCACTCTAGCCTGGGCAACAGGGCAAGACTGTCTCCAAAAAATAAATAAATAAATAAACATCTCTGTGGTCAGGGTCCACTTCCCAATCTCAACTTGTTTTGTCTTTTATGGTCCCGGCACTGTGGTCAAGTTCCACATCTTTGTGGTCAAGTTCACAAGTCAACATACTCTTCTTATGTTTAGCATGCTCTCCGTAGGGGCAAACCAGCACCAAAAATGTATACTTACCAAAATGACTGAGCACTGAGGACTGGGATGCTGAGGGCTTGAGATCCCAAGAAGCAGTAGTTATAGGGGGACTCGTACTATTCTGCTGTGAACTTGGAGTAGTAGTAAATTGGCTCAAACTTGGGGCTTTCAACTGGTCCAAAATCTGGGAACTGGTGATGTTCGCCATTTTTGATGACGTGAGCTCTCCGAATCCTGATCCAAGTACAGATGACTTTAAAGGGAAATAAAAGAACAAATCCTCAGCAATACAGAATTTTGACCCCAGGCTTTAAAACACACCAAGTGTTTTCACAAGTATTTTAAAACCTATAACTGAGAACATATGAGTAAGACTGTCCTTAGAAAATACTACATGAAAATATCATTGTGTGTTAAGAACCGCCTAAATAAATCCATCAATCTTTCTGGATTCTGACATAAGAGATTAATAGGAAGGGTGAATGTCTGCCATGAATTGACTGATTTTTTTAAAAAAGTGGTATCAGTGACTAATGCCTGTAATCCCATTATTCTGGGAGGATGAGGAGAGAAGATCGCTTGATGCCAGGAGTTCATGACCAGCCTGAGCAACATGGTGAGAGCTCATCTCTACAAAAAATAAAAAAGAATTAGCCAAACGTGGTGGCATGGGCCTGCAGTCTCAGCTACTTGGGAGGCTGAGGCGGGACGACTGCCTGAGCCCAGCAGTTCAAGGGTACAGCAAGCTATGATTGCACCACTGCACCCCAGCCTGTGCGATAACACAAGACCCTGCTGTGTAAAAAAAAAAAGTGATGTCAGAAGTTCACAATTAAATACTACTCCTGTCTCAGCCTCCCATGTAGGTGCAACCGCAGGCGCATGCCCCCACTGCGCCTGGCTACTTTTTCTATTTTTAGTAGAGACAGGGTCTTGCTCTTGCTCAGGCTGTAAGCACTACTTTTTTTTTTTTTAACTAAAAAGCAGTATTATTTAGTAAATGAAAAGATATGTTTAACAAGTAAAACCACAATATTTTCTTCATCTGTGAACCACAATAATCATCTTTAATGATTAGAATACATTTGGTCACAGAACAGTTCAACTGTGAGGTCACCCTGCAAGATCAAACACAGGTCACAAAACTTAAGCAGTTAATATTCCAAAATCCGACACTAAAACACACAGGCATTTGAGGTCGAGGAAATACCCTGGACACTGACTGCTGTGTTCAAGTGGTTTAGATGACTAAGAACACTAAACACACTCCAAAAATTAAGTACACTAAAAACAATGCCACTCCTTCCCCATCTGTCTTGTCAGGTCATATATCGAGATACAAAGAGAATGAAAACCTATGACCACAAAACACAGTGCAAGACCAACTGCACTTTTACATATAAATATCATTCTGGAAGACTAGTGCTTTGTCAAAAATAACATTTCAAATCCATCTAAGGTCAAAACCAGAAATACTTTGCATTCCCCCCAAAAGGATAGATCAAGTAAGTTGAAATGATTATTTCTGTCATCGATATTGAAAAACAGGGAATATCCCAGTTTTTGTAAGGAAATGTAAAATTTACCATTGCTCCAGATTCTTTGTTTATGCTGACCATTACACCTCTCTTACGTTACTACCAATCTGCCAAAACCCAGCTCAAGCCCACATGTTCAGTGAGGGCTTCCCACATGGTGCCTTTCTTCTTCCTGTCTTTTGCTGAGATTATGCATCAGCTGGTTTTGTCAAAGGTATTATGTGTGCTTTAGAACACAATGAAATCACTGAGTCAATGACTACTCCCTTGCCCTAGGTAACACTTAGCACAGGGCCTCTCAAGTCCACCTGCAAATTTAAATCCATGGGTGGACTTTTAAGATCTGCCCATTAATATACACACGGACATGCATGTACATATAAACAAACATACACATTACCCAAATCCCAATCTCAAAGATGCCAACTTGTTTTGTCTTGTGTGGCACCTGGCACTGTTATTATCATCATTATTATGGTTGTTGATGCTATTTATTAATTTCCCCAATGATTGTAAAGGGCAGTAGGGTTGAGACCCACTGCTCTAATACAATGCTAAATAAACAATTCTTTTACTCCACTTTCTCAAGGTGTTGGTCATGACACAAAGCAACACACCTGAAGATCAACATAAAATTTCAAGCCCTACCTATTAACATAGTGGCCAGGCAAGGATTTCAACAAGTCAGCAAGGACATGACATCATTATACCAATAGCAAATGAAAAGAAAGAGGAGGTGCGTGGTGATGTCTAGGGAGCCAAAGATAAATAAAAGGAAAGAAAGAGGAGGAAAGGACACTGGTGGTTCAATGAAAATTGAGGGATTTTCTTAGGCCTTCTCAAAAGAGAGATGGTGCCATGCCTTGGGCTGTCCCACTACAAACACTGACACCTTCTCATGTATCAGTGACACTGAAAGTACCAAGTCCCCAAACCCGCAGCATGATTTGATTATGCAGAGTAGAAGATAGCAATGAAAAGCTTGCATATTCAATTCTCAATTTTATCAGCATCCCGGAAATGATCTGACTCCAATAGGGGAGAAAATTCTGTTTCTCACCAATAGACTTCAGGAAAATCACAGCAAAGAATGACCTAAAATAATGATCACTAGTGAAAGCTGTAGGTCTGTGTTCATAGTTCTCTCAACCTTCCCACAGCAGGCTCAGAACTTTCTACCCTTGGGCCGGGCCTTCAGTCTCCCATTCTGAGCAAGCTATGCGTTAAGCTTCCACTCCCAGCAGCCTATCTTAATATCCTTCACTAACAGTTCCTGGAGTTCTTTCTGATGGGAGCTTAACTCTCATAGGAAGTCAGAGTCGTACATGCAACACTGTGACACAGTTTCAATGAAAACACATCCAAACTATAAGGGCCTCTATTACACCGGTTGGCATTTTAAGAAAACATAGCTTTCTTTACTTTATGGAATAAAAAAACAAAACAAAATGCAAAGAAGATAAATACACAGGCAGACTTAGAATTGTTTTGCATGACTTTATAGCAAGCCAATAGTTAACAATTGCATTGAAGCAAACTGGAACACAAATGAGAAATTTAAAATATCAAGTATAGATACAAATTTTGAAACAAAATCCAAGAAAAATACCATTAATAAGAAGGAAAGGATGCTTCTGGCTGACAAAATGATCATTAGTTGAAAAGAACAAATCATAAAGAAAAGTTTTCATCTTTGTCCAGGAAAACTCAGAGTAGTTAAATTCCACACGGAGTCATCAGATATGTGCTTGGAAATTATCACATCATTGTTTTCTGGACTGAAACATACTGCAGAAATTTTTACATTTAGAAAGAAATTGTAAGGCAAGTGTCATATTCTAGAAAATGTTTGCTAATTGGTACATTCCTTAAAATCCCATACTGAAATTAATTAAGTGAGTTACCAGGCTCTGAGGAGCATAGGAGTTGACAGCAGTGGAGCTTCCGGTCCCTGGTGTTATCTGATTATTGTGTTGTGAATTTGTGAAGACAAGGGCTTGGCCAAAGCCCTGCTGTTGGGAAGTTTCAAAGGAGTTGATGCCTGAGGCTTGACGGGGAGGAACAGGCTTCTGGAGCAAGGCTATCACATCAATGCTAAGCAGACAAAAAGCAAATGAGGAACCAATCATAAACAAATCTTACCAACAAACGAATTCGAGAAGTGAATCAATATAAAGTTATACTAAAAATCATTTAAGTGAGGAGAACCTTTGGAAAATGGGGTTTCAGGAAACAAAAGAGAGGGCACTGATCAAAAAACAAAGTATATGAAGCCACAGAGACTGAAGCGGGGCTTTACAGAGAGGAGAAATGAAAAGGGGTAATGAGAAATTTTCACAAAAATGACATGATGACTGATTTGAAAACCTGGAGCAATTAAGTAAACTGAAATAATTTTCTGAAGTTTGGTTCATTTTGTTTGGAATATTTTACCCCATTATATTACTTGGAACCAGAGTTTCTAGTAGATCCATATTTTAGGGAATGAAGATCTCAGCCAAAGTAGACAATTCAATAAGTTTCACATTTATCTTAAATACTGATACATGTTTTGCATTCTACCGCATAATAAATTTATGTTTATGTATGTATACACCAAATAATTTCCTGTCTTAAATACTCTGGAATAAATGCACATTTATGAATATATATATATACACACACACACATATTAGTATAATACCATACTATAATAATAGTATGTGTATATTAACAAATACGCCATTAACTAGAACTCTTTTAACGTCTCCAGAAGGACAGATATTCCAATTTGAGAAGCATGGACTAAAACCTGAAAGCATCAGGAAGAAATCACGTTCCAGATAAAGAACACATGACATGAATGAGCTTCTAACTTCCAATACCAACTCTTCTCCAAACTTACCTAGTATAGTAGAACCTGCAAGAAAGATGCATGGGATTTCCGAACCTGATAATACACTCCATTAAACCGATTTAAAGGCCAGTTCCCATTAGTTCAACTAACCGAAACTTTCACCATGCCAATGAGACAGGCAGATTCTAGGAGAATTCAAGACTCACTTCTGATAAACAGCAAAGTTCCTAGCCCTGAGTTCCTCTCCTTAACTGCCACTCTCATACTCCCACAGTCAAAGTTGAATTTCCAGACTAGTATTTTGGACCCCAAGATAATGTTCTAGTTTATAATATCCTAATATCAGGAATACAAATCCAGAGTAGTTGTATTACATATGACCAATCGCAGAAGTCTATTACTACCAATAAACAGAGCAAGTTCTATTCCAAAAGGTTGACAAGATACATGTATAAAAAACAATACTGCACTATCTTCTGAAGAATAAATAGAAGAGCCACTAAAAAGTCTAGTTAATTGTTTTTTTTAAAAAATGAAAAATGTTGTAAACCTATCACCTATACTAGGGGAACAAATGAAAAATGATACTAGAAAATTCATTCACAAATACAATGGAGAAGGTATATGTATTTAACAATAAATTCTAAGAAATTCACAAAACAATATATTGTAAAACATAACCATTAATCATTTTTATTTCTCTATAATGAAGTCTCATAACCATCTCATTTAGTGTGAGCATGAGCACGTTAGGTTCAAAACTGTCTTCATTTCTAAGGTGTCATACATATATCCAGGCTTTCATCTTTCCAGACCACTGCATTTTAAAAGCATTTTCAAAGGTGTTTAGAGTTATTGTGAAAGCTATAATATAAATTAATGCTATTCAGTAATTCAGTTCAGTGCACGTTCTGACAATGTTGCTATTACTCCAAAGCTCCTTCCTTTTCTGCAATCTAGTAGATTAAAACTAGTAGAGCCCAAATAAAATAATTCTGTATTAGCTTGAGATGTAAATAAATGGTTTTACATGAAGAAACTAAATGATATAATGTATTAAAGTTCATTGTCAAAAAACAGGTCAACAAAAGTGAAAAGAGCAACCATTAAATAGGCTTAACATAATAATCTCTGCCACAAGTGCTAACAAATCACAAAAATAATTCCTATTTTCTTTCATCACTGGACACAAATAATTAGGAAATGATCGAAGCTCTGTCAGCACACCAAGTAGGGGTAAAATAAAGGTTAATCTTAGATAAAAGGGGAAAAAACAGAAAGACACTCCGAGATGAAAACACTTTTCCAAAGGCAAAAAAATTCAATTATGCTTTAAAATAACAAATATAAGATGGCAAACAGTGATTACCTTTGCCCAGGTGTGATGTGATTCTCTGCAGGAACAGATGAGGCAGTGAAGACCTTTGTTTCAGAAAGCTGTGTGGGATGTTTGAAAAAAAATTTTTTAATTTTATTCTATATAATATAAAACCCAAAACAGGCTGGACACAGTGGCTCAAGTCTGTAATCCCAACACTCTGGGAGGCTGAGGCAGGAGAATCGCTTGAGCCCAGAAGTTAAAGACCAGTGTGCCCAACATAGCGAGATCCGATCTCTACAAAAAACATTTTTAAATAGACAGAGGAGATGATACATGCCTGTAGTCCTAGCCACATGGGAGGCTAGGATGGGAGGGAGGACTGCTTGAGTCCAGGAGTTACAATGAGCTATGATCATGTCACTGCACTGCAGCCTAGGCAACAGAGTGAGACCCCCCCATCTCTTAAAAAAAAAATTCAGTCCTACATGACACTGGTCATTTTTAAGTGGACACTTTTAAAAAAGCCAACTCTCTAAGACCCTGGCTAGGGTACATGCCAGAAAAGGAGCCAAGATGAGAGAAAATATCTTAGGCTTTCTTCCACACACAGATGCCCACACCATAAACCAAAAGAAAGACGGATCTGGTCTCACACCAAACACTTACATCTTCAGTCCAGTCTTCTGTTGTCCATTCTTCTACAGAATTCTTCCAGGCCCCTGTTGGGAAATGACAATAATCACAATCCAAGTTTACATTACAAAGTCGAACACCATCAGAATGTAAGTGATTCCTTTTTTGCACAATGTAAGAAAAAAAGTATCAGACACCCCAGTAGCAATTTAGTTTATAATCCAAGAAATGAGGTTCTTAATCTCTTCTCCATTAAATCATAATGTTCTCAAATGCAACTTGTCTAGTACTACCTACATAAACTCAAATCAATGTCTCAAAAATAACTTTGCTTCAATGTAGATCGTATCTCCAAACAATTCTGCTATGAGTAAAAAAGTATGAGCACAGCATAAATACATTTAATAGTAGGTTAATTTTAACACAGAACAAATTCATTTAAAGACAAATTTGCCTTAGACCCTATTACAGGTGGACTGCTGAATTGCCAAATTTAGACAAGCAAGCACCCTTTTTATAAAATATCAGCTCTACTACACAGTTCCCTAATAGGTCTTCTTCCAGCAAAATTTGTCTCATTAAGTCGGCTGCTCTAAGTCCTGAGGAGCAGGTACAGAGGATGTACTATAATAGTTCTTACAGAATAATCACCCGCAGAACATTTAAGTGCTTTAAAGCAGCGGTCCCCAACCTTTTTGGCACAAGGGACTATTTTGATGGAAGACGATTTTTCCATGGACTGGGAGGTGGGGATGACGGTTTTGGGATGATTCAGCACATCACATTTACTGTGCACTTTATTTCTATTATTATTACACTGTAATATATAATGAAATAATTATACAACTCACCATAGGTTGGGGACCCCTGCTTTAAAGCAAAGTAGTGGTATTCAAAAATGTTAACTCAGCATGTTCAAATCCTGTATAAGTACAAGCCCATATTTTAAAGCATACTTAAAAACACATACCCATAGAAAATGTTTTTAAAGACATTAAAGATAACCACCTCCAGAATTCTGGGATTCTGGGTGTGTTTTCAGTCATTGGAAGAAAGGACTTAAGGATCTAATATGCAAAATCCCATTCCTCTCCAAAAGTTTCTGTGTATACTGGGAAAAGGGAAAAGGGGGAGGGCACAGTCCTGAGAAAAAAGAAGGCAGGTGACCAGGTCTAACTTTCTTAGAATCATGTTAACCTAATAACCACCTTGCTCATAAATGATGGTTGTTTCCTTGGAAGAGAGTCCTTATCTATGGAATGTCTGTGACAGCATGTCCCTGATTTAGGACTGGGATGGCTCTCTGTAAAATATTATGTAAGTTATGCTAATATCTGAGTATAAATGAAGATGTTTCAAAACTGAAAACATGTCCTGCTGTGTGAGAAACTGACATGTCATCTGTAGACCTCATGTATTACTCTGAACCACAGATTGTATGTGTGGCAGGAAGGAAAACCATGGGTAGAGGTAATGGAGATCCCAGACCCTCTCCCTGCTTCTTCTGTGCCTCCTGATTGCTAGTATCCTTGAATTATTAGTAAAATTTGATATTAAGAAAAATTTCAATCTTTAACAATCTGATCCTTTGTGTTGACTCACTCATCATACCTTCAAATGGTTTCCATAATTTCTCCAGAAATGTCATAAAACAAATATAAATTTATGTACCTTTATAACATCTCTTTGAATTAAGATATTTTCTTAAACAAAGGTAGAAAGAAGTAATAGTTCAAATGCAAAACACAAGTTGCAACTAGGACCAGTAGAAAATCAGCACTCGAAGCTTGTTGTCTAGACCCCTGCACAAGGCCCCTGGAAAACACGTTGTACACAAAGCTAAATGAATCTAAGGTGATCCATCCACCTCCACTTCACTCATCATTCTTCTACAGTATGACTTTATTAAAGTATTAATACGAAATCTCCAATCTTTTAATATATTCCCTTCCAGTCTTTTCTCTAAGTATAATTTCACAAAGTATAGTTTTATATGCTCATAACTGGACTCCTGCAAAAGATGTCTTACAGTACAGTGTCTTACTGCCACCCCATCGGCCCTACCTGGTACTCAGGCTCTCATATTCATCACAAAAGTTATTTAGCACTCTAATCTAAAGATTTGCAACTTCTACTCAAAAGCTAAGGCTGAACCTAAGCAATTTTGAGAAGACTCTAACCAAGAAAAAGAAAACAATTTCATGGGCTCAAAAATCAATCCTAAAACATGCACCTTTGAGACATGTAAGATTATAATAGGAAAAAATTCATGCTGGGATTTTCTACAGAAACTGTTCATCAAAAATCGCCAACTAATCAATACTGGCTTTAAAGCCCATGTATATGTTAAGCATGATGCTAAGTATTATTGGAAAGATAATTAAAATTTTTGCATGTGATTAAGTGATAAATTACCCAAAGGTGGTTACTACTTTAGAAATTTTGGAGGATGAAAAAGTTAATGAAAGCCATAATGGTTAAGAGAGAAACCTGCATGGGTAAGATGAAGCATACCAGGTCAGGCCCAGTGGCTCATACCTGTAATCCTAGCACACTGGGAGGCCCAGGCAGGAGGACTGCTTAAGGTCAGAGTTCGAGACCAGCCTGAGAAAGAGAGAGACCCTGTCTGTACAAAAATAGTAAAATTAGCCAGGTATGGTGGCACGCCCCTGTTGTCACAGCTACTTGGGAGGCTGAAGCAAGAGGATCACTTCAGTGCAGGAGTTTGAGGCTGCAGTAAGCTATGATGACACCACTGTACCATGGCCAGGGAGACAGAGAGAGACTCAGTCTCAAAAAAAATAAAAATTAAAA